CGACTCCTTTTTGACAGAGAGTTGTCCCCAAGAGTAGCGTTGCGTTTTATTTTAGGCAGTAACACGGCCGGTTAGGAGACACAAGCAGTTGTTGCCTCCTACAACGTCGCTATCACTCCGTGTCAAAATTGAGGGGCCCTTAAGCTTCGTCCTTAGGGTTCAAGGCGATAGCAAAATCTGGCCCCTAGTGCACCCTTCAACCACTAAATGGATACTTATTCATAATTTTGTTACATACACACGCACGCACAAAAACGAGCACACAGTAAATTGCAACATCGCGCAGTATTATCGCCGAACGGGCTCGTTTTCGTCATGACACATGTCGAACAAAATGCGTTAAAGGGGCCATGAAACACTTTTAAATGGGAAGCATTTTCTTAGCAAACTTCGGCGACTTTGAGCGTATCTATCTAGCCACCTATGGCTTTTAGCTTTCCTGGCCGCTTCGATAATGATATCGATACCAAACTTGGTATAGCATGACACGACTATATGAAAAACATATTCGACTAGTCATAACGTGAAACTAATGAAAAGTATGCCATGAATTTCATGATTTACATTTCAGAGTCCTGCAGATCTCGCAGTCGTTTCGTTCCCATTGGCATGTTGCGAAACTGGTATGATATGACGTAATTGCATGGCGAACACAAGCGACCGCCCATAACATGATAAACATGAGATGCGTGTAATGCAACCACATGTCTACATGCTGCGCTCATGATGCACTGGTGGCCGTTTCGCTAGCTTCACATGTGCCAAATTTGGTATTACGTGACGCCAAATGAAGACGAATGTATGTGACTGGTGCAAACGTGATAATCGTGAGATGCGTGTCATGATAGAACATGACTACAGGCTACAGTCAAGGCGCCAATACGTTTTGACGTGACACGGTGCGCGTGCTCGCTGGTGTTCATTTTGTCGCGTCACTCCGGGGTTGCAACGCCAGGTGTCCGTCCTGCCAAATACTCGCATGCGTGCGCCACGCTGCGTTGCTTTGACGCATGCGCGTTACAGCGTGTCCGGCGTTCCTCCATCACGAAAAGAGAGAGACGCAGTGTTGTCTGGATAACGCATCGGCGTGAATTGCAGCATGTCGCATTTCGCGCCGGTTGCCATCGGGCCGCGCCGACATACGCTACTCGCTCCTAGTGCTCGCGTTTTTGCTAACGTAGCGTTGCTGTGACCAGCGTGCGCACGCGTCAACACTACATTGGAGTATAGTAGGCCCTTCATGATGTGCTCGCGGCCGTTTTGCTAGCTACACATATACCAAATTTGTTGTTACGTGACGTCAATAGATGGCGGAATATATTGCTGGTGCAAATATGATAATCCCGACATGCGTGTCATGTAAGAACATGTCAACATACAACGCTCATAGCATGCTCGCGGCCGTTTTGCTAGCTCCAAATATACCAAATTTCGTATCACGTGACGTAGATAGATGAAGAAAGTAAACGACACATTTAAACATGATAATCAGGACACGGAAGTCATGTACGACATCATTTACCCCCACCTTGTAAAGTTAATTGTGCCGATTTTAAAGCGACATAACATTTCTGATTTGTGCTTCGCATATTATCGATTCCCACTGTACGTGGGAGCATCTGCCATTTTTTTTTCAATTAACCATGGAATGAATTCACTAGAAGAGCTTATTGCCTTAAGAATTCAACGCCGCAAACATTTTAAGAATCTGTCAAGTGCGAGTGGAGTTACAGAAGTATGTCGCATGCTGCAATCGCATTATCTCTTCTCTAGTCCCGACGAAAGCGCGGCAAGCTAAGCAGGGAGGGGTGGCAGGGCAAAGAAACTACCGCGCCTCGTGACCTTGAGCACTTTTGTTTTCTTCGATTACGCGGGTTTTTCAGTGTGATTGCGCGCTCACGCGTTGACAAGTAGCGGCCTCCCACGGCTCTCTCGGTAACTTGATTTTGTGGTCACAGACGCCAAGACGATTTTGCGCTCACAACCAGCGGGGTCGACTCCAGCGACGGGTGTTCTGCGACACGAGCTCTTTAACGCTATCGCGTTGAAACGGGAGCGTTTTTTGGCCAATAACAATCTTTGCTCTACGCGCTCAGGACCACGGCACTGCCTTTAAGACGCGTTCGCTTGCTGCTATTGTTTGGACGTCATTTATCCTGCGTAGAGCTTCGTTCGACGTGCACATTACGCACAATGCAGATGCTCTTAGTCATAGGTTGTGACAACACTGTGCTCCTATGCGTAGATTTTCTGTTGAATCGCGGCATTGTTTGCCATGCGAAAAAGTGAGTGGGTAACCGTAGACAGGCCAATGTGACAATGGCGTGGTGTTCTGCACTGTTACTGACAGTGAAGTGCGATTATTGGTGCTGTGTCACTAGTTACCGAGAGGTAAAGATATGCTGGCTGAATCTGTGCTGATTGCATATTTTCATTGTTAATAAAAACCTAATGGAATTCTCTTACTTCGAGAATGTACGTATTGTTCAAAGAAACCAAACTATTATTTATCAGGCAAATGGTAGAGCGCATGCTAGACATGCAGTGTTTGCACTGCAAGGAAAAAAAATCACAGCATATGCACGGAGTGCAAAATGATGATTGGGCCGAGGAGTCCGTCGGTACGTTCGTGCCTCCGTCCGTCCGTGCATTCATCCGTCCTTCCGTGCAACTTTCCGTGTGTCCGTCTGTTCGTCCATCCGTTCATCTGTGCAATCATCCGTGATTTCGTTCGTGCATCCATCCGCCCATCCATCTATTGAACATTTCAAGTGCCGCCAACTTTGCATCGTATATTTATCATATACAAGTACTGCCATCCAGCGGACATTGTAAGGACTAAAGAAGAGTGGGCTACTTCTTTAAACACGGGACGTATGACGCACGGCCTTACGGGCTTCGTCCCTAGAAAACTAAACTCAACTAATTGAAGGTAAATTTTTACCCAACACCGACAATAAATGCATTCAAGTGATAACTTTAGGTATTTGATTTTTAAAGTGAAAACTTTGCGTATTTTATAAATTTTGTTTATGCTTTTTTATCTGCCTATTGAATAACTGCCATATAGTATAGTAACTGTGTAAGTGTATTGCACAAATTTATTAGGTGCACTACCATATGAAGCCATACTGCACTGAGGGGTTGAGGTCTTTCTCAAGCTGCGTTTGTGCGGCCCTTTCCCCTCACTCACTTTCATTTACCAATATGTTGTACATGTGTGTAATTGCAAAGCAATCATTCGAATTGAATCAGGTGAAGTTTTATTGGTAATGTAAAGTTAGGAAGCCCAAAGAATGATGGAAGTGCCGTTAGCGCGTTTTTATACCTTCTATTTTTTTTTGCTAGTGCTTTAGCCGAGCAGCCATACAACAGGTGCGGTACACTCAAGAAACCCATGTTGCGATCAAACCCATATATATATATATATATATATATATATATATATATATATATATATTATACCCCATCAAACCCATATATATATATATATATATATATATATATATATATATATATATATATGGGTTTGATGGGGTATAATATATATATATATATATATATATATATATATATATATATATATATATATATATATATATATATATATATATATATATATATATATATATATATATATATATATATATATATAGGCGCGTGTGCTCAGATTTGGGTGCACGTTCAAGAACCCCAGGGGGTAAAAATTTCCGGAGCCCTCCACAACGACGGTTCTCATACCCATATGGTGGTATCAGGACGTTAAACTCCACATATCAATAAATCATTATATTTTTTCACAAGCTTCAATGAAGCAGTATAATACATGTCCATAATAAAAAGAGCTGTTTTGTAAGGCTGGTAAATATTCCTACATATGTGGCAGAATATTGGTGTCCCTGTTCACATTTCCCTTCTTTAACCTTTCAACGTGATCTCATCAAAACCCAACATGTTTGGCTTTTCTTACTTGAAGATCCCGTGGAAGCAACGTTATGCTTGAGTAAAATTGGGGCCGAACAATTAGGACACATCTCTCGTTAGCATTCATTATCTGTAGTTCGTTAAAAGTAGGTAAACGCTCAGTGAATCTCAGTTTTGAGGTGCACCAGCCTGTGTGCCATATATACTTTATCAGCATTATATGATTCATTGAAATGTGGGATTTAATGTACCAGAACCACCATATGATTATGAAAGACGCCACAGTGGGGGACTCCGGAAATTTCGACCACCTTGGGTTCTTTAACGTGCAGCCAAATCTGAGCACACGGGCCTACAGCATTTTCGCCTACATCTAAAACGCAGCTGCCGAAGTCGCGATTCAATCCGGCAACCTGCCGTTCAGCAGCCGAGTGCGTTAGCCACTATACCACCGTGGCTAGAAATTGGCATGTTTGGAAAATTTATTGTTTGGAAAACACATGGCAAGTTGATAATCTGTTTAGTGAAAACATTGGTGAAAATCTCTCGAAAACTACCGCGCACTGCGCTTGCATTTTATGTAACTGGGAAAGCAAGCAGCTACAAGTAACACGCGGTTCAACTTAAGAATTCAGGCTGTTTCGCTAACGTTTTTATATCACTAGTTACCAACTCATTGCTCTACTTACAAAACGTTTCTTCATATCTAAGGTGTCTTTTTTTTCTTCTTGCGATGATTCTTTGTTGGGGGGCTTTCTGTAATCAAAAAACATTTAAAACACGCCACAAAAATGTAGTTTTGTTTTATAAGGCCCTAAGCTCTACCAACATTGCAGTATTTTATCAGTGTTCACGCACTTCCCCAACCGTATCATGTGCCAAGTCCTCCAATGAACCTTCATTCATTATGCTACCATTTTTTTTCATCTGTATTGTGCTGAAAGGGCGAATATCAGTGTGCCATGGCTGTTGACGGTGATACCTGGTCCCGGCACTTCCAGATATAGCTCATTGATAAGCAGTACTTCAGTTCTGACAATGTTCGGTCATTAGGTTGAACTGGGTATCGTGACGTAATTCACCGATATGCCTATCCACACGCTTTTTGAGCCTCCAAGCCAGGTATAAAAGGGACAACCTTAAACAGTTGCTCTCATTCTTGACCGATCATACCAAAGCCCGCCAAGGTAAGACGCATCGCTAAATCTAAGATTCAAATAATTAGTATACAGAAGCCTAAACTCACACCTTTTCTTAGAAGATGTTTCTGACTGCACAATATATGCAATTGGCTTTACAAGCTATATAGCGCTCAATTTAGGCCAATATACTTTATTCGCAGAAAAAATTGGTGAAAAGCATGAAATGTGTCTCGTACTCTTCAAGCAAGTGGTTCAATCTTTTGTTTTGTTGCTAATCATCTTTATATGAGGTTTAAGTGTTACGATGACAACGAGAAATGTCGACACTACGCGCACTTGTGTCATTTTGTCATTTTTGCTTGAGCAGCATACCTTCCAATCCTTACTGCCGAGCCAACATGAAGACGACGCTTGTGATTCTCCTCCTGGCACTCAGTGCTTCTGGCTGTAAGTAAACTGCACGTATGAGATGAACTACTAGTATTGCAATTTATTATAAGAACAAGGACTGTTACCGCTGATTTTCATCGCCTCTCCAGCAAATATTATTTGAAAATAGGTGTTCGTGATAACTGCGTGAAATAAATTTGATTTTTCGGATCCCTAAACCAAGTGGAACAGGTAATGCCTGCCTCGACAGCTATTTGGGTATTATCCAACGAAGTTGACTCGAAACTAGACTATATCTTCAGCGATTAGCTTCGGATCACAACAATGCACATTTAAGCGCAGGACCAACTTTGCTTTGTCGGTATAAAAATACAAGCAATGGATGGTGAGGAACCTTCAGAAGCATTCTAGGTACAATTAAGATCACTGTTTTATGCAGGGCTGTCATGTCAATTCTTCATGACGAAATTCCACAAAATAAATTCTCTATAGCTACTGCATCTACTATGTGCACAAAGCCAGGCGAAGAAAAATAATTGAGCGCATTTTGTACGTGAATTAGAAGTTCTTTACACTCGAGAAGAAATTTGTAGTCTGCACATCGTGTCCACGTGTTGCAGCAGATGCATCGTACAGTAAAGTTTCGTAGCAGCGACACAGCGATAGTTATTCTGGACTTGCTCGTGCACGATTGTTTCTTATTGAGTTTTCATCAGTTACGTGGCATGTTTAGCTACGTGCATGATTGTGTCTACCGGCGTAATCTTTTACGCACAGTCATAAGGAAGTGGAAACTTGTTTACGTAGAGAAAAAAAATATTAGTTTTTTCGGGTACATATCGATAGTTCTATGATACAGAAAAAAGTCTGCTGTGTCCATATGACTACATAGACCTCAATGACAAACATTATACTGCCCCGTCGCGGTAGCCTACTTACTAAGGTACTTGGCTGCTGACCCGCAGGTCGCGGGATCAAATACCGGCTGCGGCAGCTGCATTTCCAATGGAGGCGGAATTGTTGTAGGGTCGTGTACTCTGATTTTGGGGCCCGTCAAAAAACCCAGGTGGTAGAAATTCCCGTAGTCCTCCACTACGGTGTCTCTCACAATCATATGGTAGTTTTGGGACGTTAAATCTCACATATCATCACAAACAATATAATACACAACATTCATATATTCTAAGAGTAAATCTACACGGGGTGGGCAGTTGACCCCCACGTCACGGGATTGATTCTAACCCGTTGCGGTAGCATTTTCGGTGGAAGCGAAAATGCATGACGCCCATGGGCTTTGATTTAGGTGCCTGTTAAAATACCCCACATGGTCGAAATTTCCAGAGCCCTCCACTACGGCGTCTCTCATAATCATATGGTGGGGTTTTGGGACGTTAAAGAAAAACAATCAATATATATATATATATATATATATATATATATATATATATATATATATATATATATATATATATATATATATGCTGCTCGGGAAGAGCTTTCCTTTTTTCGCATGGTTTTTTTATGTTGCCGTTCATAATTCGACAAGATCGAATGCGAAACGCCATGTTTTTTTGTTTTTTTAATTCCAAGCAACGTAGCCACGTTAGTGTTTGGGCAATAATAAATTTCCATTTCATTTGCCGCAGAATGAGGCTGTCCACCAAGTTGATCACACTCGCTCAAAATGTCAAAAAACCGTTTTTAATGGTTCGTTTACTTTTGTTGTTGCACTTATCTTTAATGAAAATCAACAGTCAACAAAGTCACACACACACATATATATATATATATATGTCTCATCACCTATTTACATGGTAAATGTTGCAGGCCCGTGTGCTCAGCTAAGATTTGGGTGCACGTTAAAAAACCCCGGTTGGTCAAAATTTCCGAAGCCCTCCACTACGGCGTCTCTTATAATCATATAGTGGTTTTGGGACGTTAAATTCCACAAATCAATCAATCATCAGTCAACTTATTTATATGTAGCAATAGTGCTCTAAATTTGACAAATATATCGACTGGCCGCTGGCAGGTACCGAAGCTGCAACCTTGTGATAACGCACCAGATGCTCTACTAATGAATTTACAGAAGCCGGTCTTCATTCCGTTAAATTTGTCAGTTACTTCAGTGTGCATGTAAAGCTAAGGGTGTTAGTGCCACTCGCACAGAATGGTGACGTAAACTCGTACAGCTGGTCCTTCAATTTCTACCAAGCACACAGATAACTTATTGCCTCTCCTGTACTTTTAGAGTCGTCTACCTATCTTACAATTGCATCAAGGCCTGGTTTTTTTTATTTACATTCTATGCAATGACGGTTTCAAGTGTGACTGATGTAGTGCGCTCCAGTTTTGACTATTATGGTAGGCGCCATCAATAAAGAGTGCGACAGAATATATGCAGAAAAGTGGGAAGTAGAACATAAACGAACAAATACGAGAGTATGTGCCACATTTTTGATTATTCTACTTCGTTTTTAATGCATTTTTGAGGCGTTCATATATTTATGAGAAATATCATGAAATACAAACGTAAAGTTCTGAAAACAAGGAAGCAGTGCGTAGCACCTCACGTGAAATACTTAATACACTTCATGTGATCTAATGCTGCATTCTGTTGCAGGTAATGCTTTGGCGGCGTTAATGGTTTATTGGTACAGATTGAAATAACTTGTAACGCTTGCATATGATGATAATCTCTGCGTACAGGCAGAAAAATAGGGCCAATTTAAAGCAGGCGTTATATTAGCATCGGTGATAACTATTGCCTATTTGGTTGTCGCGAAATCACTTAGCTAACCCTTTTTTATTTGGTTCTCTTCCTGCCCCTCTTCTCGCTCCAGACGCAGCTACAATGTGAGTAATGATTTTTAAGCTTTTCTTCAATGAATTATAGAACAACTAAATAATTTCACTGTATCCCTTTTTTATGCCCGCAGTCCTGCTGATGCAACCACTAACCAGTCGGCATTAAACGGTAAGACGTCACATTACACGATTTTTTTCTTAAGCGGGAAATTGGCTACGTATAAAACAAAGGAAAGGAAAGAAAAAAATTTGCCATAATATTAAAGTGCAATTACACATTTCTAAAAATGCCCCTGAGCGAACGAGCAAGTGAGCGAACGAGAAAGAAGAAAATGTGGGTGCTTTATAATCCCGCACCCAAAACTCTGGCATCATGGCTTTTGGGGACGATTACTGGGTCCCATGTAGCTTCAAATCAATAACAATGTAGTACATTTGTTGTCTATGCGTGTCGTAACCAATCAAACCAATTTTGAGAAACTTTCTTCCAGCACACGTTACTAAATTATGAAAGATACATTTGAAACTTTCGACGTCACGTAGAGCGATTCGGCAGGAAATTTAAATATCAAACTTGAACATTTATTTTCTCTGCTAATAATATGCTTATGAAGGTCTCATTGAAGTTCTCAGAGGTGAGTTTGTCAAGCGAAACCAACTAATTCGATATATTTAGCGTCCCTTCAAGGGCGCCCCTTCCTTCATTCTTTCGCTATCTTATGCAACAATACCTACCAACATGCTCATATTACGGCTGCATTAGGAAGCATTCACTGCTTTGAAAAAATATGGTTCATATCACGCACTGTGCTAACAAGCACTAAATGTGCTCTCAAAAGGGGTGCAGAACTATCACCTTCTATATCAATTAGTCAGGTAAATCATGACTTAATGAGCACTGTTTTAGTATCACTGCATTGCCAATTATTCAAGATGGCGACCGTATATATATATATATATATATATATACATATATATATATATATATATATAGAAACTCTGCTGATTCATCAGTGGTTCAATAGAACAAAATCGAAGTACAAAAGCATCAAACACCAATGAAAATCTCTGCGCCGGTATAGCCAATAATTGAGAAAGACTGCAATCAATCATTGAAATAAAACAAATGATTGTCACGCAACCGCATGGTGTGGCTTCACTGGTAATCGATCTTTGCGAAACGCATGGCAGGAGAGTTATTTAACTCTAATAGCATTTTACTCGTTCATACATTTGCCTATCTCAACGTTAGGATTTCCATACGACAATATTGGTGAATGCTTCTAGATTGTCGTTTAAGGACTTCATCCCGGATTCGTGAGACGATGCGTCGAACACGATGCGTACTTTCGTAGTAGATCGGTCCTCTCGTATGACGGCTCAGTGTGGCACATAATACCGTGGTCCAATTGGATGGTATTCTTTTGAAGGTACTTTTTCAGCATATCCCTCTTCGAGGTACATTCGAATAGTTGCTTCGTATTGTTTTAAGAGCTCACTGTCCTTGTTAAGTTCATTTATCAAACTGTGCAGACGTTTGACTGCAACTGCGTAGTTTTCATCCATCTCAACCATTTCCTTCCATGGTAGCGCCACTTCATATTGAATGTTTTTCTTATTGATGTTGTTCTCAAAATTTGCCAGCACCGATTCAGCGACCGTCGTTTCTTCATTTTCGGCCTGGTTACTGGTGCTTTATATATCCCAGAAACAGGTCAAGGAAGGAAGGAAAATAGAGGGGAAAAAAAGACAAGGAGGTTAACCAGCCTATAGGCAGCCGGTTTGCTACCCTGCGCATGGGAGAGGGATGGAGGAGATGAAAGAGAGCAGAGAGAAAAGAGAGAAACAGCAGTTTCGGCAGCACACGCGCGCACAGAAACAAGTCAAAAGTTTTGAGATATCTTACTCGGTCACTGTGGATCGTAGGACTGCAATACTGGCACTCTGTGTAACATCGGCTGCAGTAGACAATGGTCCTTGCACAGTCCATCCCAGTTTTGTCTTGACAGCTTTCAACTTTTCGAACACAGGCTTCAAAATACCCGTTACTATATCCCAATAATAGTCTGATCCAATAAGGACCGCAATCTGTTTGTCTTCTACTCCTTGTAAAGAGAGAGCTCGCGTATGCAAGTACATCTTGTTCATTTCTCTTATAACGTTTTCTTCTGGTACCGGCATACATTCAGTGCGTATCGTGTCCACCACCAGCGCCTCTATTGAAATCGGAAGCTTCTGGTTCGCAAGGAGAATCGATACACGTACCTTCTTCATGGTTTTCCGTATGTTATCACCCCCGAACACACCGATGGCTAACGTTTCCTCTCCTATTAGTTAGCATCCAAGTCTTCCATAAGCTTTGGTTGTAATGAAGCTTCGCTGACTTTCGCCATCAAAAAGAACTCTGTCGCGACAGGGTGATTTGGTGCCCAATATGGTGGCTGTAAGACTCTGGAGCATTATGACGGACCTTGCATGCTTGGAAACCAGATTGACCGATGCAGATATCGCCTTCTTGTCGTTTTTGATGTCGTCGGATGCACAAACAGATCTGGCGTGCCTTCTTGCGCACTTGCCACATGTTAACCAGCTTCTGCAATCTTTTGCCATGTGGCCCTGCTTTAGGCAACGAAAGCATCGTCCAGCTTTGATGAGCACCTCCCTTTTTTTTTGAGAAGTCGATATTCTTCGTATCACAGACTTTGGCAGGATGCTTTTCAGACCGGCAGAACAGGCATTGTTGTGGACTTTTTGTTTAACTTTGTAGAGCAGCTGTCGTGGAAGCGTCGCGTGGATGATTGTGTTTTAGTCCTCCCTTATCTGGGGCTCGACGAGTTTCTGTTACGTCTTGTTCAGCAACAGCTTCCCGACAAGTGAGTTGAAGTTCGAAGAATTCCAGAAGCATTCGAAGATCGTTATCTTTTGGAACCGTTACACGGTTTCAATTGCCTTGCATATTCGAAGAGGATGCAGCCGACGAGGATGCCTTGTGCATCTCGTGAAAACGCAGCACCATGTTCGTCGGTAGAACTCTTAGCAGAATTTCCCGAAGCATGGAGCAATAAATTGTCGAGTTTGTGCCAAGTGCCTTGAGGCTTCGAATATGAACCTGTACCTTGTCGTAAAGTTACCTAAGCTTACGAACGACTGCTGACAACGACATCGGCTTTAAATCTAGCAAACCTTGCAAATGGTCGTGCACTATTATCTGTTCATCTCCAAAACGCTTCTTTAAAATTTCAATAGCGTCTTTACAGCACTCTTCGGTAGCTTGTAATCCCGATATGGCCGACGCGGCCGCTCCGGTAACCAGGCTGCGACAGGATGCTTTTCAGACCGGCAGAACAGGCATTGTTGTGGACTTTTTGTTGAACTTTGTAAAGCAGCTGTCGTGAAAACGTCACGTGGATGACTGTGTTTTAGTCCTCCCTTATCTGGGGCTCGACGAGTTTCTGTTACGTCTTGTTCATCGTTACAACGCAAATTACTTGCGAACTCTCACCTATTTTACAAAAACTAATGTTGGTCGCCTTGTTTTTTGCATTGCACAAAACGTAGCATTCAAGAAGAGCTACGAAGTCATCGAGAAGATTATTGCGGACAAGCAACAAGCCGCGGAGCAAGAGGAATCAGTGGCCGAAACCTTGAAGGCTCTCGCTAATCTGCAGGCTAACGTTGATCCGGAAAGTGAGGAGTATTTCCTGGCGCAACTGTTTCAGAAGGCTGTGTTCTGGCTGGTACAGAAAGGTGTGTCCAAGGGTGTCGAATACGGCGTGGGAAAAGCCATTAAGGGATAATTAAAAAGCCTATAACAGTGAGAGTGGTGAAAAAATAAAATATCTGCACACAACTGCTAGATGCCTCATTTGTGTAGGGGAGACAATTCATAATAAGTGAATGTTAAGCTGCATTTAGGAATAAGTAAAAGAAGCCAATTATTACACGTTGAATGAGCAAATTTTGTAAACATCAAGAGGATCACGAATAACTTATGCCATGTTATTTTACTATTTTACGTTTATTGACAATACCTTCTTATGATTGTCTTCGTGGTAAACTGACTAAAACGATGACGCTGTGCGATAGATGTCTAATATACAATGCTTCATGTGAGCAGCTAGCATCTGTTGCTCATACAGCTTTCATCATAACTTTGAATGACCGTCAAAAGAGCGTCCGTCCTAATGCACATTTTAGTTACAGAATACAGGGCCTCTTATTTCAATGAACAGATGAATATTATTGTTTTCCTGATTTTTCTAAGACACTTGCAAATACGTTCACGTGTATTAGGTTTTCAAGTTTATTAGATTTTCAAGTCCTCTGACATAGACATTTTTTCGCATGCTGATGAAGATATGGGAAACAACAAAACGAGAACTCTCACAGGGACTTCTCCACTACAACAAAACAGTGCATTTGTTGTTGATCCGCAAACAGTGCAAAATTTCTAGTAAAATACACAACAGTGTGTTTAAAAGTATGGCAACATAAGGAAGGGTTACAGGTTGCTTAAAATAAAGATTTTAAAAGAACACGTTGAACATACAAGCATCTAATAAAGGGATTTTAACATGTTTCGAGCATGAATACACTCTGCCTAACCTAAAGTTAAAATGTAGCGTGTTCCACAACGTAACCCACCATAGAATTGCCGTTGTTCGATCAGGATTTATTTTGACGAACTTAATGTTAAAAGTACATTATGGTAAGTTTAAAACAACGTGTTTGTTTTTGCAAAAGTTAGAACAGAAGAACTAAAAATATATAGGCAGTTATTTACAAAATGAAACAACGTCAATTGATTTTTGCGCCTAGTAACCTCACGCGGACATAGATTTCTCCCGTTGCGAAAAAAAGCAACTGATGGGGATGAAAATTGTTTAGTACTAACCAGTCTTGAAGATATCTTTTGTGGGCTTTAAAGATGGCTTAGATGGCACACCATAATAATACAGTCCGTGAGCTGGCTGCGAATAAATGCGCATTATAAGAAAATAAGGATTTTGGTAATAAAGAACGACCACGTTTTCCTAATGAGACAAATGACGAAAGACATTTTGATTTAAGGACTAAGCATGCGCATTGGATTTCCAATGTTTAGTACTGCACCAGAACATCATGTGGGCGCAGATGTACGAATTAAGTGTCAATGAGTGCAACTACTATGGAAAAGATGATTGGCAAAGAAAAGAGAATGATACACCCCGAAACTAGTATTTGATCACTTGATACGTAACGCATTCGATGCATGCCATAAGTGAACAATAAGTAGGTCGACATTGAGTAGATGTAGCATTGCTCTATCTTTCTACGCGATAAATATGCAAGTTTCATTAGAATAAGGAATAAATTCATAGGGGTTTCAAACGAATTGGTAGATCATTTAAAAACAAAAACAAGATGGGTCCTACAATTGAAATGGAGGGGGGGGGGGTGCTTAGTTAAGTATTTTTGGACATGAGACAAAAAATATTTATCTGAACAACTTGCGTCCAATCGGAAGCTAGCGGAAAATGTGGTGCACATTTACTAGAACAGTTTAGTTTATGAAACGGACTTTCTGTCTAATTGTATTGAATGCCTTTGTAAAATAAATAAACAGAACTCTAAGCAATCGGCTTTTATCAAGTCTCAATTCGACACTTTCAGTGATCACGAAGTTGAAGAACATTTCTCATCGCAAGTAGCACGTCTGAAGCTTGCAGCTACCGTTGACCAGCGCTGCCTAAAGTTTCGTATATGGCTTGAAAAGTAGGTACTCAACAGGTACTCAATAAATGACACACACGCAACAAAAAGTAGTGGTCTTACATTGTGTGCACAAAGTGGCACTTAATACTAAAGGGGCCCTGCAACACTTTTTGCATGATCAGAAAACGCTGCTGATCAGTAGTAGAGGCTCCCGACAGCAGCCCATTTATCAGCCATTGGCTGATTTGAGAATGGCGCGTTAGATCATTGCATAGATCTCCGTGGGAGGCCACGACGTGCCCACGCATGCGGGCGTGACCACTATAAAAAATCCGTGAATTCGAAGAAAAATATTGGCTTTCCCACGCACAGTGGAAATTCATAATGTGCGAAGCGTGAATGAGGAATGTTGATATTACACTTTAAAATCAGACCAACGTTAGGAGGCGGACGTAAATATGCCGTACATGACTTCTATGTGATGATTGTTATGTCTTGACGTGTCATTTAGCATTGTCGTTCATTTACGTCGCGTGATACCAAATTTGGTATATGTGGAGCTAGCAAAAGGGCCGTGAGCACGCTATAAGCGTAGCACATAGTCAAGTTTGACATGACACGCGTATCATGAGTTTCATGTTTGGTTTTGCCATTTGCCTTGGCCGTCCATTCACGTTCAATAGTACCAAATTTGCCATATATGAAGCCAGCCAAACGATTGCGAAAGTGCTATTAGCATAGGATGTCATTATGGTTCGCATGACATGTGTGTTATTATTATCATGTTTGCTCATGCCATTTACCTTTGTGGTCTTTTTGCGTCCCGTAATGTCACAATCGGTATACAGGGTGTCCCACGTAACTTGAGCCAAAGTTTAAAAATATGGCGGAACAAGTAATTACGACGTGACCAAACACCTGTTGCTCATCATTACCTGTAGTTAATCACCCATTTCTTTTGCACTCTCAAATATTGTTTAATTTGTCATCATCATGATCATAATCATCATCATCATCAGCCTGAGTACGTCCACTACAAGACAAAGGGCTCTCCCACGTTCCACCAGTCAACTCGGTTCTGTGCTTGCTGTTGCCAATTTATACCCGCAAACTTCTTAATCTCATCTGCCCACACTAACCTTCTGTCTCCCCCTAACCTTTGCCTTCTCAAGGGATCCAGGCAGTTACCCTTAATTTCCAGCGGTTATCCTGTCTGTGTGCTACGTGCCCGGCCCATGTCCATTTCCTCTTTTTAATTTCCACTGTGATATACTCAACCCCGGTTTCTTCCTTAATCTACTCTGCTCTCTTCTTGGTTGTTAAAGTTACACCTACTGTTTTTTTTATTTGCTCCCTGCGTCATCCTCAATTTAAGCTGAACCCTTTTTGTAAGTCTTCAGGTTTCTGCTTCCTAGCTAAGTACCGGCAAAATGCAGTGTTTATATACCTTTCTCTTGAGGGAGAGTGTCAATCTACCTGTAGTGATGTGAGAGTGCTTGCCAAATGTGCTCCACCTCATTCTTATTCCTCTAGTTACTAAAGTCTCGTGGTTCGGCTGCGTGGTTATCACCGGTCCTAAGTAGACAGAGCCTTTTACAACTTCAAGTGCACTTCAAGCGCTGTTCTCTTCCGAGGTTGTCGTACATAACTTTCGTTTTCTGTAGACTAATTTTAAGACCTACCTTCCTGCTCTCCATGTCTAACTCCGTAATCATGAGTTGCAATTCGTACTTGAACTCCTTAGAGATTCAATGTGATCGGCAAAGCGCAGCTTACTACGTTACTCTCCAGTAACTCTTATGCTTAACCGTTCATAATCTAGGCTTCTGAAAACCCTCTGTAAGCACGCGGTAAATAGCATTGTGGAGATTGTATCCCCCTGCCTTATACCCTACTTGATTGGTATTCTGTTGCTTTTTTTATGAAGTACAATGGTAGCAGTTAGATCTCTTATAGATTTCTTTCAGGATGTTGATATATGCTTCGTCAATGCCCTGATTCCACCGTGTCTGCATGAATGCTTATATCTCTACTGTATTAAACGCTTTCACGTAATCTATGAAGGCTATGTATGGTTGTTGGCTATATTATGAGTATTTCTCTATTACGTGATTGATAGTACGTATGTGGTCGATTGCTGAGTAGCCTGTTCGAAATCCTGCTTGTTTCTTTGGTTGATTGAATTTGAATGTTGTCTTAATTCCGTTAGATATTACCTTTGTAAATAGCTTATATACTATGGAGAGCAAGCTGATCGGCCTGTAATTCTTCAAGTTCTTGTCATCTCCTTTCTTATCTATTAGAATGATGTTAGCATTCTTGCAAGATTCTGGTACTCTTCCCGTCAGGAGACCCCTTGTAAACAGGGTCGCATGTTTTTCTAACCCAATCTGTGCTTCATCTTTCAGCAGATCTGATCTTTCCTGATCCTCACCAGCAGCTGTGCCTATTTGCATGCTCTTCAATGCTTTTCTGACTTCCTCTATTATTACTGGTGGGGTGTCATCTGGGTTACTGCTAGTTCTTATGTTAATGTCGTGGGTGTGCTGGCTATTGTACAGATCTCTGTAAAACTCCTCCGCTATTTTTACTATCCTATCCATATTGGTGGTTACTTTGCCTTCCTTGTCCCTTAGTGCATACATCTGGTTTTTAACTACCCCAACTTTTCACTGCTTTGATGCTTCCTCCGCTCTTCAGAGCGCGTTCAATTCTCTCTATGTTATACAACCTCACATCGGATACCTTACGCTTCTTAATCAACTTCGAAAGCTCTACCAATTCTATTCTGTCTGTTGTACTTAAGGCTTCTTTTCTTTGACGCTTCTTAATAAGGTTCTTCGTTTCCTGGGACAGCTTGTCAGTTTCTTGTCTGACTACAGTTACTTCCAACTTCCACTGCACAATACATAATGATACTCGTCAGATTATCATTCATTGCGTCAACGCTATGGCTGTTTTTCTCGATTAGAGCCGAATACCTGCTCCGAAGCGAGACTGAATTCCCGTACTTTCCCTCTCAGTGCTATAGCTCATTGACTGGCTTCTTGCGTATCAGTTTCTATCGTTGCTTCTTCAAGTCTAGGCAAATTTGGGACCACACCATTCTATGGTCACTTCATTAAACCTTATACCAAGCATTTCCACATCCTACACGAT